TGATGCTTTTGGATTTAAGTTTTAGTGGTTAGCACAGTGGTTCCCAAACTTTTTTTTCTGCGCCCCCCCAGTGGTTTCCAAACTTTTTCCGCCCCCCCCCTATGGATTACCAATGGCTGGTTGAAACCATGTGGGGGGGGGGGATATTCGACTTTTTTGGGGGCAAAATGAATGTACGTAGCTGAAAATAGACACCAACATCGGTAGCCTACAAGGTACTTGTTAAGCTTGTTAAGCTTAAGGTTCTGTATTGATATTAGCTAGTCATCTTTTAGCTAACATTAGCTAGTCATCTTTTAGCTAACATTACCTGCATCCAACAGCTTTACTCAACTCAGTCGGTTAGTTTGGAGGGAAAAACTGAAAAGTTCTTTGCGTTTTGCTGGTTTGCTGCCGTGATCCTAACACAAACCTACGTAGCTCCGCACAGCAGCAGCAGGTCTCCTTCACAGGTGTAAACCCAGCGCGCGGGACATAGCGCTCATGTTGCGGTTAAAAGCGGCTCGGAAAAACAGGTTACAACATGTTAACAACGGATTAAACAGTTTTAACTGTTGATAAAAGTGACAGGGGACACAAATATGGGAAGTGTGGAAGCCTCTACTGTATCAAACTGACAGGAATAACAGAGAGTTGGCCATTCTAAGGTAAAAACCCAGCGCATACAGTGTTCATGTTTTTTTTGGGTTTTTTTTTCATCCAGACGGCTTCCCGCGCCCACCCTGCAATGACATGGCACCCCTTCTAGGGGGCGCGCCCCACAGTTTGGGAACCTCTGGGTTAGCAGAAAAATCACAGTCTGGGCATATGCCGTTTGTCTGCGGCTAAAACGGCATCATGGGACCAATATGGTGGAAGAGAGGGAGGGAGGGGGAGACGTACAGATGTTGGATGTCGGAAATCCAACAGGAAAAGAAAAGAAGAAGAAGAAGAAGAAGAAAAAAAAGACACCGGAAACATCTTTCCCCAGAAGGAATAAAAAAAAGCAAGCAGGATAACCAGACAGAGAGAAAAGAGAGAAGAAGTAGAAAGAAAAAAGGCCCAAAAAAAAAAGCAAAAACAAAAAAAAAAAAAACAACAGAGGCGATCTCACCATCAAACAAACACTTGAGCTGGACTTCCTTTTCTGACAGACGGCAATGGAAAGGAGGAGGAGGAAAAAAACAAAAACAAAGCAAGGAGTCATCGGGAAACAAGGAAAGCATCAGAAGCAGTTAAAAAAAGTGAAGCTGCCAGGTTGATCCCGGAAAGAGAGGAAAAACAAAACAGCTGCACAAGCTTACAGAGGTGAAAACGTGAGAGAGAGAAATACTAAAGCTGTAGAGGAGAAAAACAAAATTCAAAAGAGAATCAGCTAAAAAAATTAAAAATAAAAAAATACAGGGAGTTAATATTAGAGAGCAGATGTAGGGAGGGTCCAGAAGGGGAGAGGTGGGTGTCTAATGTTTAAATCGCTTTGTGTAGCAGGAGTTTTATTCCGGCCCTGGTGATCATGGCGCTTCACCGCATGCACTGACTCTCACTCTCAGTCATGAGAGATTTTCTAAATTCTGGTTCAATTCTAAACCTAAACACAACAACAACAACAACAACAAAAACTGAGCAACTAACTCTACATAAAGAAACCAAGCCCTAAAAATACACAATATAAAGACACATTTCTGAAAAATACAGATTCAAATCAGGAGTAAATCACTGCGCGCCCCAACAGGGCTCAGAGAACTTACCTTCACACCGTCCGACTTTTTGTTTAGCAAGGTTTTGCACGCTGAAAGAAAGTAGGACAAGGAGACGAGGACAGTGTGAGACAGCAAGACAAAGCCGAAGACACGAAAAGTTCACGTCGCGTTCACCTTTTACATCAGCGAGGACGCCGCGGGAAGGATGATTACACCAAACGGCATGACAGCCGCGCCGCAGGGGGCAATCAGACTAATTAAAGACGCTTTGAGGGAGGATCACGACAGGCAGACGACAGCGAAACAAAATACGAGAACGGAAAGGTTCCTGTGCGTCAATTTAGAAGTTTAATCACTTTTTTAGAATCTTTAAATATACATTTTTAAGGTTTTCTTACAGGAGGCAGTAACAGTCTCACTAAATGTACTTTAAGCCCATTTTTTTTATTAATCTGCCACTTTTTTTCCTCCTTTTTAACTTTTCGATGAAAATGAAAAGTTAATCAGTAAAGTTGTGAGATGATTTTACAAGGTTTTTAACTCATTTTGCAAATTTCCATCTGTCGATTCCGCATCTTAAAATGTACGTAATGAAATTGCGTTATAGCAAACAACATTTTCCTTAGATTTTTTTTTTTTTTTTTTTACATTTTTATTGTAATTATAACTCACGGTTTATAAATTCCAACTGTTTCCAATAATTAGTGGCCATTATTTACAACCAAATTAAAATATTTTGAACCATCGCAACATTTTGTGAAAATTTAAAGAAATTTTTTTTTTTTTTTGCTCAGCAGAAACCCCCAAAATACAGCAGTGATCATTAAAGGTCTATTTGTTAAGCTTTTATTTTTTCATACCGCTTTTATTCTACCTCTAAGCATCATCTTTCAATCCATCATAAACTCAAAGAACCATGAACATTTGGAAAGAAAACCCTTAAATAAATTAATTTCTGGTTCAATTTGCCATGTCCAGAAAAAAAGAAAAAAAAAAAAAAAAAAAAAGTTTCAAACTCAACCAGAAGTGCTCATGTTACTTTATGTAAATTTTTAATGGTACCAACATGCAAACTAAACATGCAAAAACGCACGGCCCTTAAATAAATCTGAAACATAAAACCGTATTTGTGTTAGTCCAGTCCCGGTGAGCCACCCTTACCTTCCGTTCGCAAAGAGGTAAGGAGAGCAGAGAAGAAGAAAAAAAAAAAAAAAAAACAGTGGCGCGTTTAATATCTGCATCTTAAGATCTGAACTCAAAACAGGGGAGAACTGCAGGGATGAAGAAGAGTCGGGCTTTCACTTCAACTCAAAACGCTTCCTGAGACCATTTTCACTCGAGTGGTTGGCTCATGCAGCGCAGCATGCAGTAGCATCCACTTCAAAGTCTTCACAGCAAAACGCTGCGGAGGGACGAAACCTCCGGAGCGCCTTTAGTTTCAACACGAATCTGACCTCGATTCAAAAACAGTGATTGATCACATTTTATATATATATATATATATATATATATATATATATATATATATATGTACATATATTTATATATATGATTCATCAGAGCTAATGAGGGAAGCCTGCTATTATCAGAAAAGTGTGGAGTGCATATATTCGGCTTATTTGCAAAACAAAGACTGCACCTGTGGGTGATTTCATGTCAGGTCTGGTTATTAATACTCCAGCAGGTTACGGGTTTCTCACTGAATACTGTACGAATCGTCATCTGAAAAAAAAAAAAAAAAAAAACTTCAGCTGTCGGCAGCTGAAGTGACAGGCCAGGCAGGAACAGCGTCATTCAGAGAAGCAGCCGAGAGGCTCCTAGTAACTCTGAAAGGGCAGCAGAGATTCGGTGCTCCGGTTTCAGGGAATCTGTTACGTTCCTTCCACAAATCTTTTAGGAGAAGCGTTGAAAGGAATTGTTAAAAAAAAAAAAAAAAAAAAAAAAAAAAACAAAAAATGCTGTTGCAGTTTGCCACAAGACAAACAGCAAACAGCTGTAGTACCTCTGGAAAAAAAAAAAAAAAAACATGGGGGAAATTTAACGCTGCACCTCAACCTGAGCCCACTGCCACTGTGGTTAAGCTTGGTGGTGGCAGCATCATGCTATGGTGGTGCTTTTATTTGGTAGGTTTGGAAACTTTGATAAGAATCCCGGTAGAAAACCTGCTGGAAGCTGCAAACGACTGGAAACAATATGGTTCAACCTTAAAAATACAGGAAGAGCTACCATAGAACGCATATTCATGTGCTAGAATGGCCCAGTCAAAGTCCAAAAAGAATCTATGATGAAATTAGCTTTTATTTTATTTTATTGAACTATTTTGCAAAGGTTCTGCGTAAGAATTTCTGCATCTCTGTGATTGTATCGTGGTTCCACAAAGGGGGCTGAACACAAAAAGCACGCCACACTTTTCAGATTTTTTTAATTTGAAAATAATCTAAAAACCATGTGTTCTTTCTCTTCTACCACACACTTATGCATTGTTTTGCGCTGTTTTACTCACACTATGCAATTTTCCATGAGCTGACACAAATCTCCCGCCTGTTTTTTTTTTTTTTTGTCTTTTTTCCTTCTGATGACGACAGAAGCGCTGTGCTCGAAGCACACAGACACCGCCAGGCTCCGTTTTAGCTTAGCCCACCAAACGTAAACAAGAAAGCAGGCAGAAGAGCAGAGACGACCAAAGAAAAACGGCCGACAGGAGAAACACTTTGCATTCTGTTCATCCAGTTTTCCATGCGGGATGCCAAACCGAAAGTCCTCAAGTTGTGAAACATGCTTGGCTGCCAGAGCCATGCTGAAGGAAGGTGGCAGCAAGCAGGCAGGCAGGTGTCGGTTCTCAAATGAGTCAAAACCGCTCATGTTTTTAGTTATGTTTAAAATATAAAAGGCGTTAGGGTGAGAGAGTGCAGCAGCATCCCTTGCGTTAATGCAGAGCTGTGGCTTCGATAGGCGGCAGCTGGAAGGAGGACACAGGGTCATGCTGAGGGTGGGAAGGAGAGGAGGGGGGGGCGGGGAGAGAAAGGGGGCTTCAGGTAAACCACCGCCGGATTCTGCACAGGAAATGAAAACATCCTGACCAGGAAAGGAGGAGCACTCATTAGAGCGTCAAGAACAGCAGCAGCAGCAGCAGCAGGAGACCCGAAAGGTCAAGAGCCAAACTTCAATCTGCGCTTTTCCATTGATGAGCTCGTGTTTGAGTGTGTGAGAGAGACGCCTCTGTGCTGTGATGACCACAGTGCATCACTGTGCAGGCAGCAGGCGGAGGCCAGGGGTTTGGAGGGGGGTGGGGGGTGGGGGCTTTCAAGCAGCCGCATGCCGGCAGTCCGAATACGAATCGCACACCCGCTTCTAGCAGACGTACCTTCCTGAGCCATTGCTGCCGTGCTGGTGGTGGCGGCAGGGCTGGTGTGCTGCCGTCCCACTATCGGACAGAGAGGGGGATTCCTCCAGTTACAGTTGTGCTCAGAAGTTTACACAAGCCTGGCAAAACGTCTAATTTTCACCACATTTATTTCCCCCCAGAGAACGTGAAGGATACAAAAGTTTTCTTTCGCTCACGATTAGTTGTTTGGCGGAGCCGTTTTGACGTGAAACTCTATATTGCGTTGGCTCTTTTTAAGTCGCAGTGAAAACAGAAACTACCCAGACGACTCAGATTGACTTGAAGCCTTCCACCTACGTCATCCTCTCGTGTGGTAAAACCTGGCGTTGAAGGCAAAAAGCCTCCAGTTATTATTTAAGATGTTCCTAAATCTGAGGTTAGGAGACAGAGATAGCCTGACCCAAAGTTCAGGTTGGGGGAAAAAAAAAAAACTGATTTGCTTGATGGCCAGGGCTTCTCTGGCGCATTTCAGAATCCTACAATATTTGCCCTCGACTCAAGCTGCGGTTACAACAAGCAACGAGACGGAGCTGGAAGACGTTAAGCAAAAGCTGAAAACAGGAGAGGTTACGCTGCTTACTTAGATGGTGGTCTAAAAACGAAAGCGGTAAAATCTTAATTAAGATAATACATTTTGTCGAGCTCAGGCGTACGATTAAAGCCAACCGTTTCGGGTCGAACCGGGCTTGGACACGAAACTATTTCATAATAATATCACGGTGGAACATCCAGGTACATCACTTATTTTGGACGAAGGTAATCGCTTCAAGCAACGTTGATTCAGACATTTTTAGGTGTGTATGTGCCAATAAATTGCAGCTATTATCTTTTTTTTTTGTTGTTTTTAGATTAATTATAATTACATTGTCCTGCCGATTCTTTGATAATAAAAAAATGCTAGCATCTGGCTGGAAGCTAGAAAGCAAACCAATCACGTTACTGTTCACATCCCTCCCCTCAAGGCAAACTCTTGATCAGGGGTGTTTAGGTACTTTCTCTATGTAAACCTCTGAGCACCACTTCACTTTCTACCATAATGCATTTCATCGCGCAGAGCGATTATTGAATTTCAACATTTTCCAAGTTTCACTGCAATACTCCACTCTCTTCAATTGGAAGTGAAGCAGCAAATGGAATAAAACACTCAGTGTTTAATTACATAATCTGATTATTCCCTTATATAGGGGAAAAAAAAAAAAAAAAAACTTTAAGTGATGCGGAAATGCATCGAGTCTGTTGTCTTCCGTCTCGTGGTTGACAGTAATCTGCTGGAGCCGCGTTGCTCACGTGAAAGCATGTAAACACATAGTCGATAGCATTAGCGCGTCGGCCTGCCAGGCCATCATTCAGCCACAGCCTGAGCTCTCAGTGATCCAACTGTTTACCGTGACGAAACCTAAGCATACCGTGTGAAACGGAAACTGTGCCGTCAAGAGGAGGAAGACAGCAGCAGCAGAGCAATGCTGACGTCTCATTTGCCGTGTATAATCGATACGAGGTTTGCGGCTGTTTTAAACGCGGGCATAGCTTTAAAACGAAAGCGCCGAGCTCACCTGAAAAGTTCCTGGATACCAGCATTGTTGTGAGAATAGCTCCCTGTATTCAAGACAATCAAATAAATAAATAAATAAAATGTCATACCTTGTAGGTGTTTATATATATATATATATATATATCTGAGGACCTTTAATCATCTCAACACTCACCTTAAGTTTTCTCCTGGCGTTGAACTTGCGCAGACATTCAACGGTTTCTTGACGATGCATCATGGAGGCAACAGTGGAGCGTTGCTGCGCGTAGAGAAGTCGCGTTATTACAGACTCATTCACCTTCATGAAAAACATCCCTAAATACAAACAGTAACTTCTGTGACTTCATGGAAATAAAAAAGAAAAAAAGAAAAGAAAAAAATAAGACTGCCTTCTGGCCAAATAGACGCACAACTATCGTGGCGACGTTGTGTAAATGGATCGCCACGAATGGCATTCGAGATTTTTGCTCCCGTTTTTAGCTTTTCACCAACACATCTGAGGAAACGGTCACCCAGTGATACTGGGTAACGCTTGTTTTAGTAACATAAATAGACCGTGGTGAAAAATATAAAGTTGAGAGTGGTCAGCAGAGTTACATGCAAGCGATGTTCTGAGCTGGTGGGACGAGAACAGGACCCTGAGGAACTCCACATGTGATTTTTTTTATTTGCTCAGATTTATAATCTCTGAATGACTCAAAACAAGTCCTTATCTGTTAAATAAGATCTGAATCAATCTTGTACAGTAGACTGAAAATCATTGAACAGATTTCTTTCTTATTATAGAGAAATACATTTCCTGTTTTTCCCAATCACTCAAAAAAAAAAGAGCTAAAGCTCCCGGAGGCATTTCCTCGGATGTAAAAGTGTGACTTACGCAGACCCAGGGATGCTTGAGGGCCTGGTCAGCAGTGATTCTTTTGGCAGGGTTAATGGTCAGCATCTGATTGATCAGATTCTTGGCCTCGGGGGTCACCGTGTCCCACTCTGGGGACGGAAACTGAAAGGAAAACAAGGCAAAACGAGGCAGTGTTAAATAAAACCTCCATCATCAATAAAAATTTATGCAAGTGCAGTAATGTGTCCTTTTAAAAATCAGGCTCTTACTTGTGACCTTGTAAAGTTTGGACTTTAGAATTCATGGGGAAAAAAACAGTAAAATCCTAGATTTTTTTTTTTTTTTTAATCACCATTTTGGTATTCATGAATTATGACAGCCTGATAATAGTCTTGAATCTATTATGACACAAATGGAGAGGAAGAGAAATAATTGGAAACGATTTTTCATAAAGAGCCTTTTACAAAAAGGTTTTATACTATACAAGTTGTAAAATGTGGTAAAAATAAAAAAATAAAAAAATGCATACAAAAATGAAATATAGACGTTGAAAAAAATGATAGAGAAAAAAAAATGAAGTAAAAAAAAAAAAAAACAACCTTGTACCAACAAAGTTAGAGGTGCCAGTAAATGTTTAGCATTACCATAAAAGACATTTATTTTAGCTGCTAGTCACTGAAAAAAATGAAAGAAAAAAATATTAAAAGTATCTTGTTGACAGAAATGTTATTCAAGAAGTGTAAATTACTGGGTGCTTGCCTCAGCCACTTCATTTCTTTTTATGCACAATCATTAGATGTGGTTACTTCAAACTCTGAAAATTAACACAGGCAATAAATTCTCCTTTCCCAGAGGATTATATGATCTAATAAATATGCTCATTGCTCTGTGATGGAGCATTTCTTCCCTCTACAACAGCATGGAAATCCTGCAGTAACAAGCAGAGACTAATTAAAACCTAAATTTGCATTTCTACATCACTCCCAAGACTTAAATCCGAGCTTCTCAGTAGACGGGACTTGATCTCCGTGCTTGATTGTTTTGCACCACTCGGATCATTAAGATACAAATATGAAATGACGTTAAAGTTTTGTCGCACAAACAAGACTTTATGGGCTTTAGTTGATGCAACTTTTGATGCTTACATTTGAATTTCAAAAAAGGAAACGCCAGGAAGTCATGATGGAGTTCACAGATGTGAAATGAATGCTTTAGAGCAACATTTTTCACTAGGCATTGCTGAGCAAATAGTGCAACTCCAGATAACGTTGCGAAGCCAAAGTGGAGCTGATGGGCTGAGTCTAACTTTTGGAACCAACTTCATACCAACTTAGACATTGTTTTAGTGTTCAAGTCTTCACGACGACACTCTGCAGAGGAACCAGGGATGTCGCATTGATTTGTGGACGCACACGTTAAACAAAGGTGTGAGTGGATCGGAACAGCAGGTGTGAAAAGCAGACGCCCGTCTGGGGATAAAATTTACACCCATCGGTTTTCAGGTTTAATGCATCTATTAAAATGTATCCATTAACGATGAGACAATCTACACTTTCAAAAAACACTTTCTATCCATTTATTTGTGGGGGTTATTAATGCCGTAAACGTGTAATTGTTAAACAATACAGACCAAACGGAGCTGGGACGGTGCAGCCAAATTTGCAGTACCGTAATCCCGCCACACGTTGTGCTATCAGAAAAATTCCAACCGTTTCTGAAAGGGGAAATGTTGCGCTTTCCAGCCAAAATCAAGTTATTATGGTAATTTCACTTCCTTCGTAGAAGGGAATGAAATTAATCTGAGGGGCGCTCTTTTAATAGACGGTAAATTGCGAAAATAACTTGCTTGATATTGAAAGTTCCAGTTGTTATGGATAAATGGGCAAAAAATATTTACTCACAGGACATTTAAAGAACTGCGTACAATTAATCAAAAATATCTAAAACTTAGGTACTGAAGGATTAAACAATACCTATGGCTGCTCATTGACGAGCGCCACTAAAGAGGGTAGCCCGGCTAAACAGGTGTGGCAAACAACAGAAATGCCAGGTAAAGATGGTGAAGCCGCAGAAAATCAAAAATGCCAGCCAATTTTAAATTAGTACAACTTACAAATTACACATTTGAGACAGAAAAATACTGTAAACGTGGAGGTCCAACTTCAACAGCCTCAGGTTCTGACCCGTCTTTGACCAAGAGCTCCAAAAGTGATGAGCAACTTTGTTCATGCCATCCTTAGCATTTCATGTACAAATTCCAGATTTTTCAGCTTTCCAAAGTTCCCATTCGTTTCTTTTTACTTTTTAATATAACATACTAAAATTCATAACACATTTATGGAGTTAATGTTTTGCAAAAATGCACACAGCAGTAAAAGGTGAGGGATAGAGGTTAGAATGATACTGTAATACAAGACTATGACAAGTAATACACACATCATAGGCGCCAGCTTTGATCTGTTGATACAGTTTGTGTTGGTCCTCGTCCCAAAATGGAGGGTATCCCACTAGCAAGATGTAGAGGATCACACCTGGAAAAATTCACAAAAAAAAACAACACAAAAAAGTAAGTATATTTATATTAAAAAAGCAAGTGAAACATAGTATTTCATAACGGCCCTGAACGGCAAACATCAAAAGTTGGAAATGGAGGAAAAAAAATACAAAATCCATGTGGCTTTCAAAACCATCAGACACAACGGTTAAGTCCATTCAGGGGTAAATGTAAGACTATCAAATGATAAATGATTCCTCTTTGAATTTATACAGAATTTAAAAAAACTTTCACATTTAAAAAATTCAACAACCTAAAAGCTGGAAGATGAAATGAATGAGTTTCATTTGAACAGCGCAGGATTCCTTGTTAAGTTTCATCAGATGGAAGGATAAGACTGAACATAAATAAATAAAACAAACCGACATGAAATTCACGGGAACATGAAGTAAAAAATGCATTCAGTTTGAGATGAATGGGCTGTGTGTGTAATCTGAAAAGAAAAAAACAAACAATTAAAAAACATTTCTCTGACCACATGCCCAGATGTCCACCGGCTTGCCGTACGGATCCTTTCTCAAAACCTCGGGCGACAAATATCCAGGAGTTCCAGCGAAACCTGTCAAAGACAAAGCCATCTCTGTGGAAACCGTTTCAAAGAAAGCTAATAAAGAAGCTAATAAAGCTGGGGGGAGATCAATACGTCTGTGGGGTCAAAGGTCCTTTTGATAAAATACACATTTCTCATTTTTCCCATGCAAAACGTGGGAGCTGCTGTGTAATCTAATCTCAGTTTTGCACTATCACCTGGACAGAAATTTTCAGCAAGAATTGACAATGCACAGGTGAGTCTATGATAATCTTATCCCTACTGCAAATTTTTAGATTTAAAAATAGATTTGAAAATCAGGTGTAGTCTCAAACACATTTGACTCAACCAAACACAAACTGCACTGATTCCAACAGGTGTGCTTAAAACAGAGCAACTCAAATAAATGAACAGTAGACGGTGTGTACGGTTTTTCAAAAATAAATTTCCAAAAACGTTCAGAAAAAAAAAAAAAAAAAAAGAAAGAAATCCTCGACTTGCATAAACAAAATGTTCCATGAGGAGCAGCTAAAAGTAAAATCCACAACTTTAAAGTTAAAAGAAGAGTGTCTGTATATCATAGTTGCAAACAGAGGACGCTATCAAGGACAGCCATCAGATTTCAGATGAAGGTGGGCAAATAAATTCAAGTACTATCAAGTGGGAGGAAATATACCTTCAATGTTTCCAGGGGAGGAAATCTCTGGGCACACAAACCCAGAGCTGGACGGCTCCTGGACTAAAATGAGCCGGGAGTGCTGCCAGGAGCTGGCGTCCAGGTATAAAACAGGCTTGATGAACACCACATCATAAAAAGGCTTCACTTTCTTTTATCTGGACCACCATTAACAGCAGTTGCCCGCATCTACATCGTCTTGGGCTCAGCACACTCAACATTAACCGCCAAGTACTAAACATGGTCGTCAGGAAGAGGTTGAATCATTTTGAGGCTGTGGTGGTCGTCAAATGTGGCCTTAGGTGTAGCTGCACGCGGACTTTTAAAACACTTGAATCTCTTCAACTGGCCTTGACGAACACACTTGGAGGAAATGCTGCTGCGGCGCGCCAACGCTGCAAAAGGAAGCAGGAAGCGGCCGTTTCTTACCGAACCACGCCTGCTGGTCCCCCTGCACCTCGATGGCAAGTCCGAAATCCGCGAGCTTCACAGCTGCTCCCTTCATCTTACTGGCGAGGAGAAGGTTTTCTGGCTGCAACACACGCAGGCGGATCATTTGAGAGGACCAAACCCAAAGTGAAGCAGCAAAGCTCCTCTCTCTCTCTCTCTCGCTTAGTTTTACTTTGAAATGTCAGAAACTCAAATACAGGAACACAGTTTCGACTGTAAAACAACAGACAAGCCATATATCTTCCTTATGGGGGAAAAAAATAAAAACATTAAATACCGCAAAACAGACTTTGGCAGAATGATGAGCAACAACAAGATGATGTGTGTAATTAGTGGCAGTAAGCACGGATCCTCCTTCCAGAAATGTCTCGTCACTAGAGAGAGCTTTAGGATGACATCTACATCCTTACTGAAGCGTGATGAGGTTGAGTTGGTTACTGACGACTGCCTGAGAGGAAGAGCCTTTTCATTTAGATGCCATGGTATTTACCCCAACACTTTGACCATGTCTTGTTTTGTCACATCATCAGGCATAAAAGCCAGGCTTTGGAAAAGGTTAAAATTTCTTACGTCGCTTCAGAAAAACACAAGCAGGAGACAAGACGACCACTTTTTACAGTTTTAGATGAACATCATCGAAGGGCTGCACAGTATATTATGGTTATATCGTCATCGCAGTGATGAAAATAAGCATGTGTCACAATATTTACCAATAATATCCCCGCTGCAAGAATTCTTAATATCTTAGCTTTTTTTTTCTCCCACTCTTACAAAACTTTGATATTTTTTTCGGGACACAGATCAACCCTCAGGTCTAACAGATTTTGTGTTTAATTTTTTAGTTTTTCTCCATTTTGTGAAGCGACTCCAAAAAGCTGGATGGAGCACCAGAATGGTCTCTGCCAAAAACAATTCTGTCGCTTTATGTGATCTTTAACAACTCGATTATTGTTTGAATTTGACATTTGATGTTTTTTGACTCTTGGCTTTCTCGCAACATTTTTGCAAAAACCCGACGACGTCTTTATTTCACTAACTCGGGTACCGACGTACACAGATTTTCAGAACACCTTTTCTTTCGTTAAGATGTGGTGACTGTGGAGGCCACCGAAACATGTCATGTTATCCCCTCATCAAAAACAGGAGTTTTTGCCTCGACTCCTTCATGCTTGTTTGAGAAATCCTATAATCTCCCCTGGCAACTGTTCGGCTGTGCAAAACGCCCAGCTGGACTTGGCACCGCCTTCCAGACGCAGCTCCTCCTTGAAGCTGCCTCGCAGAGCAGCCCTCCTCCCCACCACCCCACTCCGCTCCTTCAGACTAGCCAGCAGCAGTTAGCAAACACCTGATGGATCTGCACATAGGAACTTCTTCTGGAGCTTTTAACGAGACAGAGGCTCGATTTCAAGGTGTTAAATTACAAAGTAAGTTTTCTTTGAAGTCATATTTGATATCTATAGTATTTTTATAACAACTGAAGTTAACAGTTGTTACTTGATTATGCTATAAAATGATTCTATGTTCCTGGAAAACGCATCAAGAACGTGAGGAGGGCAGTTTCCCTGTACGACCCCAATTATTTATGCCAGATATTGTGGTGTGGATTCTCCGGTTGTCACATGACCTTTCACCTGAAGTCTACTTGACCATTAATATTAAACCTCTGCCAACATAACCGCACATAGCACTTTGGTAGCCACCTTCTACATTTTCTTCCACAACCAAAGTTCAAACCGGTTGATCTTTGTATCTAGCATCTGCTACGCTTGTAAGACCAGCGTAGTCTCTCCTCGGTCTGCTTCTTTTCACATGTCAGCCTTCGTCATCTAGCCGCACATCCTTCATTTCTCCTACGACCTCCTCCTCCTCCACTGCCCGCCCTTCAAGCCCACGAGGCCCTGAGCCGACAATAGGAAATAAAGAAGAAGGGGGGAGCGAAGGAACCAGACAGCTTTTCTGAAGCAACAGAACCAGACATGCAGAGATAGATAGATGGGAGGTGGCATAATGAGTCCCTACACCGGCGCCGCAGCAGCCGGGTGACCTCACCCCCCTCTGTTGCCATGGCAACCCTGCCTGCCACCAGCATTCAACTCTTTCCTCTCCAATTCCCCAACACCCCTCTCCTCTAAGCGTGCGGCCCTCCCAAGATGGCAAGAAGGCAAAAAACATATGAAACATGTGCAGGAGGTTGAATTTGTTCGCACCGGTTCAGTTTTCCCGATTCCTGAGCGCAGAAGCTGCTTCCTTTCCTCTGTGTTCTTGGAAAAATACACGCAGTGTTTTTATTGTTTTTTTTGTCTTCTCTTATGTTTTAAGAACTGTTCCAGCAAAAACCTGAAAATTTACTGCCTTGACACAACCTTAACGGGTATTTCTGCCCCCCCCCCCCTCCAAGTAATTTTTGATACTCTACACAGAGTCCACCGTAAATCAATGCAGCTACATGACTAAGGAAACATCAGCAGGATGTTGGTTAGGTGAACAATGAATCACAATCTGATCAAGACGAAGAGGCAATTCATCTCGTTTTGTCTTTGACAAGTGCTGCCATTTTAACATCCATTAAAACCTTTTGGTCTGTCTGTGAGAACACAAAAAGTAAGAAAATTGTTTTTGGCTTTGGCACCCCTGAAAAATATCAAGCATAAAAGGCAAGAGGCAGACTAACAGACTGGATAGTTCAGCACTGATGCCAGATTTCTAGCAGCGTTTAAAGTTCGTCAGGCATTTAGTCAGTTTGTGAAGATTAAACAGGAAAAAATATTCTCAATCAGCCAAATACCGTCACATCTCATGAGCTGTGTGCATCGCTGCGCCTCTTACGGCTACACAGCTAATATTGACAGATCAATGTTAGTGTTCGTTTGCTCTCGTGGTTGAAATTTTACCTCAGAGTTACAATTTTACATCTGCATAAGCAC